TGCAAAAGTAAAAACTTGCTTACACGATTGTTCATCAGATTGCAAACTTTAAAATCGTATATTTCTTGGAGTGCTAAGTTTAGAAACCTGAATACTCCTTTTAAACACATTGAAGACGGCACCTAATGGCAGTAATGTTCTCTCATGTGTATCTCGCCCTTATTTGTATGAAACTCTGATTCAGTCGAACTGGCGATGTCTTGCTGTTATTGTGGTTGTTGGATAATGGTGCTCATCACAGAGTTCATTACAGAGTCATGCATGTTTTATGAAGGATAATTATGAAGCAAACTGACTGAAGTCAACAGAATGTGCCGGTTACGAGCACATCACATAAGCTGCTTATATTATAGGATATCTAGAATCAACGATGCTCATAAACTTAAATTATCCTAAATTATTGTTTGTATATGGCACAGAATAGTTCATTTCAATATTCCTTTGGACAAATTAAGTTCAAATGGAAAAGTTCAAATAAAGAATGAAACCATTGAAAATTTCAGTTGAAACGACAGGTGACCGTGGAATGCAATCACTTTAAGCGAGACACTTGCTCTGCATATACAGCTTCTTCACGCTGGCACAAGGCAATCATTATGGCGTTCAGGTGATCACAGCAAATTTGATGCGTTGCATGAAACCCGATAATGACCGATGCTTTGAAATTGTGTGCATAAATCGATGAACGATCGGTCACGTTTGCACAGTCGTAGAATATCCATCACTGTGGTGACCATTGTAGTGTTTGAGACGTTAACCGGATATGTTTGACTACGTTAACAAATCTAGTGATCGTCAGCTGCAGATCATCGTCTGAGGATGGGTTTTTCTGGTGATGATTCGAATGTTTGGAGAGGAGTTTGGGTTTTTGAATGAAACTCATTGAAGAATGCAAATAATTATGCGTGCGTTTTGTAGAGGAACGCATGGTTTTTTGCAAACGATTGATGAATGTATCACAACAATATTTGAGTCGAAAATTGAATTGCCTGGAGCTGGAGAGGTTGGCGAAAAAATTATCATTTCTTCTAGAAACTATAAGATGAAACATCTATAATTGTAAGGCGACGACATGTCTCTAACAGTTTTCAAATTGAAACATCCGGAAGGATTTCCTTGAATCAAGAATACCGCAAACGATCTGATAAAGCGTTCTAGGTGAACAAATATTTCTTCGAAGCTTTCAAAAGTGTTTGGGACGGAGGCATCAGTGAAGATTTCCTCAGTCTTAAGAAACAACATCCATCATATGAGCTATGGGTAAGCTAACTGAAGCCATCATTCACTCTTTGATGTTTTACTTCGAGAAAAAAAAAACCCTCCCAAAAAATTCTGGTGACCGAATGATCGTTCAAGATGATGATGACCTGAATTTAACAGGTTACTGGCTATTCACTTGGTGGCTCGATGGCTTCAATTGCTTCCACATATATTGTAAGCAGTGGTCTTTTCAAGGCATCCAAAGTTAAATTGATCACTTTTGGTGAACCTCGAACTGGCGATCATGAATTCGCCACAGTGCATGGTCAGCTTGTAAGTTATTCAAATGATTCCATTTAGTCGGGTGCTTTTTAAATTAATTCAAAGTCATCATACGAATTCTAAACGATTTCTTTCTTCTTCCTTCGTAAAAATCGCCAATATAATCAAATTTCGAATCCTATATTGTCATCGCAGTGTTCTCAATATACTTCATCAGAGGGAATCTACCAATAAGAGATACCAACAACTTGGTATTCATTCACCAAATGTATCCTATGCAGTCAGAACATAATAATCCTCTATCTCGGGTATCCAACCAGCTTTCTGAGCTCAACTATCCGTTCTGCTTTCATAATATTACTTCCTTGATGTACATTCCTCGAGTACTTGAAAGATTATCAATTGTATTACAGCTATACTATACATATCGCGTAGTGCATCAGAACGATCTCGTTCCACATGTACCGATCAAAAACTATCGAGGATACTATCATCATCTCTATGAAGTGAGTGAGTTTGTTCACTGAATGCACTCGCCGTGATTACCCAATGCAGTTGAATTTTTTCACTCTTCGTTCAGTTTACAATTGGATTCATTTTGACCAGTTTATAGTTGAAAGTCGCTCGATATCAAGCATTATTGACCAGTTCCATTGCTGATATCATTCAGGTTTGGTACAATAACAGCATGGAAATCGGAGATGAATTCGTTGTGTGTAGCACTGCCGAAACTGAGTCTTGCAGTGATTCTGTGAAAAGGAAAGTATCACTTAAACATCATTTGACGTATTTCGGTGAACGAGTTACAGAATTCTGTCTGTGAATATCATCAATTAACAGCCATGAAGAGATCTGTTATAAAAGTGTTTAGCTTATATAACCCAGCTAATATTGCCCTTGTAAAATATTCATTCTGTCTTTCTGGATTTCTGGAAGTCCCAATGCTTAGCAGTGATAAGCTTATTGCTAAATTCGAATCTGGTTAGAATCTATTTACGCTCCAAAGTTTTTGTATAAGTCTTTTCGTTCATTTCTAAACAATGGAATATTCTCATGCGAGAATTTCGGTGATGTAAATTGATTTAAATGAAGCCAGTTCACTTTACTGTTTCATAAAACTGTGTGTTTCCATCATTTGTGAAGTTTTATTGCTATCGTTTTGTAAATTTTCATTTGTTTTCGCACTTTTTTTTTCGAAATTAATTTCACCTTTCTTTTCGTACAAAGATCTGTTATAATTGAAAAGTGAAATAAATGTGTAAATGTGAAATGTGAAATAAATGTGATACAATGTAAACTTTACTAATGCACAAACATGAAAAGTAGCCAGTTTCAAAAGTTTCAAAATGATAAAACATTATCAATAGTACTATAAATCAACAAACGTGAAATACATTGTGCAAAACGACTGAATTTTCATTTGTTGACAAGTTATAATCGCATAAACCTTGAGGTGTCTAGGCCAATTTTCAACTGGCACA